GGGCCCCGCCCCCTCCCCGCCTTCCAGCCTTGCTGTTAGCCGCCGTGGTAGTCTAGAAGCTGAGCTGCGGACTGCACGGGCGAGGAGGGGGGCACCCTGCGGTTGTGCCCTTTGACTTGACCTCTATTCCGCTCCTCGCGGGCTTCGAGGGCCGGGAAGGTCCGGGGTTTGTGCACACAGGCCTGGCAGCTCTGACCAGCCGGCTTCCCTTGGCCGCAGCCGGGAAGAGACGGTTAAGCCTCTCTCTGCCTTCCTGGCTCATAGCAACTACCTCCCCGGACTCACTGGCTTCTGGGTTAAACACGTTGCTGGAATTCCCTTAATGTCCCCAGGGATGGGGCGACGCAGGTCCCGAAAAGGTGGAATCCCCGTGCACCCTGCTTGGTTCAATTCACCTTGCTCTTCTCTTTCCTTCTTCCCCACTTAACGGAGACCGAGTGACCAAGCAGAACGCGTATTCCGCTGAGCTGACGGAATAACAGAGGCTGTCACTAATAAAAATGCGATGTAATAGAAAAGACAGTCGCCGCAGCCTCGGTCAGGGAGCCCGCTGCTGCTGCACAGATACTACTGTCGCCATGCTTTTGTTCATCCCTGCAACGGATTTCCCGCTCTGGTGGCTCTCAACTCCCTGGAAGATAACGTCCTAGTCTAAAGTTCTAACAAATTACCTATGTGTGTCCATGTATTTTTAAATCCACAACACTCCCCCGTTTTCCATACTTGAACTTTCAGTTATTTTTTAAAGACCTTGAACAATACATCGTGCTGTTCAAGAATTGCCCTGGTCTTAAGATACCTAAAGGTTTATTTAAAGGTAAGCAAAAGATGTGTAGCCGATTTATGACCCTTTTGGCAGGTATTTTGTTAATACATGAAATGAATCCGTGATATTTTTATTATTCAGTGAATACCAAGTAGTATAAAAATTTAACATTGAGATCACCTCTCCAGATGTCTTTTCAAATATAATCAGTTATTTCCATTTTAAATGTAAAGTATAATGACATGTGGTGTCCTCAATCACATATAAGGATTGGCTAGAACCCCATTTCTAGTAGCAAAATCTCTAGAAGACTGCATGTCTTATGGAAAGAAGGTTTGCAATTAAGATTTCAAGCAACTCTCCATCTAGCTGTTAGTGGAAGTTCTCTTATCATTCTTATTTTCTCATTTCATTCCAAAGCACTAACTTGGGTTCAAGTGAAAAAAAATATATATTTCTGGAACTAGTTGGGGATTTCAGGGGAGAGAAGAATGTTTTGCTGAGAGAGATCACTTAGGGCTGAATTCTGATGTTCTTTTAATAAGACTTTTCTTTACAGACCAAGCCATTTTTCTCCACTGAAGGAAGATAACTTTGACGTTGGTCTTCTGTTCTGAGCTGTTGAATTCATTTTAAATATTATCTTAAATGAAACCCAGACAATACAAATGTTCTCTTGGCCATCAGATCAAGGGTACAATCAGTGTTGCTCTAGCTAATGGGTAGGCGTAAAAGTACTGCCGTTCGCTGTGGGAAAATATTCCAAAAGAAACTTGACCTGGGATGATTCTAAAGGCTCTCCCAATTTTATAACGGTGTAAAGCTTTTAGATGGAAACATAATCAGTGAGCTTGAAATTTATTGAGTCAATAAATTTAACGTGCAGACTTTCTATAAGACAGAGTTTATCCTGATAGATAAAAGCACATTATTGAGGCACACTCTGAGGAATAATTTTACTGGAGATATCACCTTAAAGCAAGTTCTCTTGGGTTTTCAGCAATGGAGAGGATAGAAAAAAAATCACTCTCTATGACAATACTATAGGGATGTTCTAGGTGACATTCATCTCTATGTAGAAAGGACAGCATACTCAATAAGCATGTAAGTGTGTGGATATGCACGTGTGAGCCTACCAAATAGGTATGAGTATAAGGGCCAGCAGGTGGCAAGGTGGTTAAGGTGCCAGACATGGCCACATGGCCCACTGTGGTTTGAGTTCCAGGCCTGGTGGCTTACTTTCTCACTTTCTCTTACTTTCTCTCCCTCTTTCTCTCTCTCTCATGAGCTCATGTTCCCGACAGCAAATTTTAAAATAACAAAAATAAATAAAATTAAATCATTCTTTTTTTTAAAAAAATGATATGCATATAATAGAGGTGGAAAGGAGGCATTGTATTTGAAAATATTTTTCTGTAAGTGATGATGGATTTGAACTGACCCCTGCCCATTGTTTCACTGGTAACCAAGGAAAACAAAGATGGCTCTTCGCAACTGAAATACAGTCTGTAGGACCAGGAGTAGAGGAAGCATAACCACTTCCGTGGAGGCAGAAGGGAACTCACGCTCACCATGAATGTTTATATATAATTCTTCCTAGGTGACCAAGTAGTCTCATAAACTGGCAAATATCCACTCTGTCAACTTTGATTTATATTCTCCATCTAAAGGGTATCTTTAGTGTTTTTTGTTTTGTTTTGTTTTCATCTTTTCCTTTTTAAACTACTGCTATGTACTGGAATGCTCTTATAAAAAGTGCTGCCTTGTTCTGTAGCTTATCCTGGTAATTACAAACTTGCGAAGTCATTGAGAATCAACGTTAATTGACTATCTATATAGGTAGCAGAAGGGAGAAAGGCACCATTGTGCATTTTGCTGATGCTTCAGAATAACCTTTCTCAGTTCTGGTTACAAAGTTTTACTCTAGGTATTGGGTTTTAGATAATGGAGGAAGTCAAGTATCAACAAAGAGAAAGAAGTTCAAGTTTGTAGCCTTGTGTGTTTCCATTCAATAGCTCCAGGTTTGAAAGCTCAGGTTTGAAATTGTGCCCTTCTGCCAATTTGAGGCATGGTACTTGCTTATCTATATCGCTTATTCTCTGTGCCTCAATGTTCTTATAAAATGGTGTGGACAATAACACCTACTTCACATGGTTTTTAAGGATTAAATTAGATGAAGCATGTAGGAACACTTTGCAAACTCAAAAAACTATCCACATGCCAGCTCTTGTTATCATTTGCTATTCTCATCTGTCATTTTGTCATCTCAAAATGACAGTTCTAATTATGGAACAAGTTCATAGAAATCTATTTAAAGTTTTTTAAATTCTTATTCTTAACAAGAGACTATTAGAAGTTATATAGCATGTCCATATTATCTCACCCTAATTTGTAAGTAGGCAAAATGTACTTTGATGAAAACACTGAGGAATCCAGAGAGCTGAACAGTGCTGGTCCCTGGCTCGTTCTCAGATCCAGCTGTTCTTAGTACCACGGGAAACCATTCTTCAGCTTTGCGGCATGGAAAGACACTGCTGGGAGACTGGAGGTAGGAGGAAGTGAGAAGCTAGGGTATTTCTCCACCACCACAGAAATGCACTTGGTTAAGTTTCTGGCAATAGCAACAGCATTTTCCCTGTTGGACTGGTCTGTCCTGGTTCCAGTCTCTTCCAGGTCACTCTGGCCTCTGGTAACACCACCTTCTCCCTTTGTCCCTCAAGGCTAAAGGTAGAGGTAGCTTCCTGGTGGTGTTAATCTCTGTGTTGCGTGTTTGGCTCCACAGATCTTCTGTCACTAGTGTAACCAATTCTCTGTAGTATATGATCTGGTTTTCCTTTTCTATTTTCTTTCTTCCTTTTTAATTGTCAGAAAGTATGTACACTGGCCAGAGATAGAGAAGATACCTCTCAGTGGGGGGTCACACCATAATCCCTTCTGCATTTCTTTCTCCAACCTGTTTGGATTTGAGGCATACATGTACACTCAACTGATATGTTTTTCAAGCCACTAGGGCCAGGATTCCAACCCTGGTCGGTCATGTGGAATCCAATTCCCTTAACTACTCAGCGTTGAGGTCAGCTCCTGTCTCTATTTTAAATACTTAGAATGGCTTCTGTTTCCTTGGTGAAACACTTTAACTGATACGTTCATGTCATAGTTAAAAGTTCTTTTAGGGGCAGGCAACAGAAACCTTCTATGGCTAATTTATGCAAAGCAAAGTAGTGAGATTTATTCAAAGAATTAAACGGCTATGGCTCAGGAAGAACAAGAACCTAGGCAGTAGTTGTTTTCAAAGCTTCCCTAATAGCCCTCAATCTCTGGGCCTCTTTGTGCCCTATTTCAGGGTTACCCTATCCCTGACTTAATTATCTACAGCTGTAGTATCTTTTGTTTCCAGTTTTATAACTGACAATTGGTGTTTAGTTATCTTCCACAGTAACTGTTGGTAGATTTTTTAAAGTGGTAACAAGAAATAGTAACAAAATGTAGAACTTGCACAGTGAATCTTTATTTTCATGGCATTTTCTGGACAACTACACCCAGATACCATTTGGAATGTTTCTTATTCCTTTGGCCCAGATAGCTTTGTAAAGCCTGGATCCAATGCACACATCTGGAGTCCCCG